CTGGAATGCTCAAATTAACGAAAAAACTTGAATCCAATGTTGTCAACTCGACCGGAAATTCACTCACTTTCACACCTCCAAAACAATTCACACCTCGAAAGAAGGTTTGATTTGGAAAATACATCATGATATAATTCAAATTTGCTCTCTTCATATAATCACACGAAAAGTATTCATTGAGAAGAACATCTGCCTTCTGAACGCTTTGTTCTTGGACAATATTGAACACATCATCCCAAGCTGCATATTCATAGAGTTTGTTAAAGAGTACATCAAAGTCGTCGTGAAGAGAATTTGAAAGTTTTTTCACAGATTCCTCTCCAAATCCTCGTTCGACATTACGAAAGGAAAATTCGAAGGAGAGAGAAAGACCTAGAGAGCATAGACAGACAACCACTGTCGAGTGTGGTCATAGTGATGATCATGATGGTATTGTTAGGAAAGTTTTTGTTGTTCGTTGTTGTCAAGTAGTACCAATTTGTGGATACAGTGACATATAGCAACCATGTCAATTGGACCGATTTGGAAATAATATTCATCATCAAATTGTGGAATTTTGAAATCATAATATATTGGAAATAGACGACATGAAAAAGAAGAAATCAAAATTTCACACATGAGTTTTCCAACATATGTTGACCATCAACTGTTCACACACTTCTACTTACCAATCGATGTCATCAACAAGGCCGTCACTGTTTTCAACCGTAATCCAAAAAAGCGAAACGACCTCATCCATGCAGGTCCATCCCCTTCTCCTCCACCAGGATTCAATATGGCTGATTGTTCATGTTGTTGTTGATGTGGAAAGTCACCTACACCACCGAGTTTTGGAGAGTCAAATCCTGCTGTGCTTTGTGAACCTGTTGAATCTGCTCCATTGTTGTTTTGATTCACGATTCCAGTCCATGTTTTGTTGTAAAAGGAAGAGTTGGTGGTGGGTTTTTTAGAAAGGGACGACGAACTGTTGTTCATTTCGTACATCATGATGATGAGAAAGAGAAATTGTGTTACAGAGAGAGTTGTGTGAGAGAATGGATGAAATGACTCGAAATTCCACAAAACAGTGTGTGTGAAATACTTTTTGAACACAACGACTTTTTGTTTTGTCGTACGATTGATCAGTTGTGGACAACACCACTGGAGCCAGTAGTGGTATCACGTAGCAGCAGAAGCACCAGTGAAATAGAACGGGCTTTTGTGATGGTAATATCCGTGATGTTATTGTTTTGTGAGATGAAACAAGATAAACGTTGTTTTTCTTCAAGGTTATTTGCGCATTTGATGAGGATAGTTACTTGCGATAGGACTTTCCACTTTTGAGTGTGTGACTGGTCACGAACATTGACAATGAATGATTGATATCAAGGAATCGAGCTGTATTTATGTACTATTTCATTTTATCTCTCAAAGATTCTCTACGCATGGTGGAAACAATGACTTATCACTCCTCACAAGAATCTTGAATCTCATATTTGTAAGTTGTTGATGCCATATAACCAATAACATTTTCTACTAGCCTCTGTTTGATATGAAGAGCACATAGTATTGTTTGTGACGGAGAAAAAGGTAACTGGCCGTCAAGAGAGTCGCGTGGAGTTGATGCAAAATCTACAATAGTTTGAGCCATACAATAGGGACATAAATCAAATGAGAATGTCATGCCTACATTATGCATGTCTGAAACATAAAAAAGGCAAACTTGATGCTTCCCAAAATATTGTTTTTGCAAAACACGCTCAATCTCATCGTGAAGCGTTCCAATTGTTTCTTTGATACTTTCTTTTGTTTCCTTCATCTGAAATAACCCAATATAAAACACAGAATAAACAGCCTGCGATGGAAACACATCTCTTAAATTGAGTGGAACCAATGCAACTGCAACTTGTTTAACTCCATTAATTTCTCTACCATCTACCCCAATTTTAAAAAATATTTTCTTGGGTAATTTTTTCCCTAATGACATACATAGCTTCAGAATATAAAATATGGCTTGATCTAAGTCTATAATATATCCAATGTAGTTTGAACTTGGATATCGTAATTTGAAAGTTTTCTCAACTTGTTCATTTAGTGATTGTTTCGATGTTGTCATCTCTTTCCTTGTCGGGAGTAATGTCATTAAATTGACTTCTTTTCGTAAGTTATGATATGTAACATCAGAAATCAAGTTATTATCTCGCCAATATTGTACAATAGTTACATCTTTCTTTTCAATTAGATATTCTTTCGGTTTTTGATAACGATGGCTGTATTTAATATTTTGCTCTAATTCTTGGATTACTGTTTTAATACCTTCATCAGTTTGAAGATAACATTCAAGCCATGCATGTACATCATGTCCTAAAGTACCTAACATTTTCTCAAATATAGACACTATTTCTTTTGCTCGATCTTTCGCTCCACGGTTGTAATTGTCTTGATTTAATTGAATACCAGGGTATTTGTGAGGACATGCTTGGACTTTTTGGTGTTTACAACAAGCACATTCCCAATATTTCAATTCTACTTGTTGATCATTATCAGATTGTGCTTGAGAACGGTTGAATGAGTCACATGTATTGGATTGTAAAGCGGTATCAGTTGTATAACAATTTTTCCATTGTTCAATATTATATTGTTGAGAGTAAATTGGTTGTGTTGGGAATTGTTGAGGCTGTGATTGCTGTTGAGGCTTGAAATAGTTCCAAAGTGCAAATTGGGACAAATATGTCTCACAAGTCTGGTCTGCCAAAATGAATGGTTCGACATACTTAAGCCCAGAATATTGTATACAATTTTGAGAAGCGTTCCATTGATCGTTCCACTGTTGAGAAAGGTTAGGATCAGTGTTTGCTTTTTCCATACTATCTACTGTTTGAGTAATCTTGAGAGGTTGTATTAAGTTCATGTTGCTGATTTGCATCATTAATTATATCAGAAGCTTCTACTATAATATTATTTTCATGAATATCATCATCATTTTCATTAGAGTTCTCGTCAACAAAATAGGATGCAGCATCAGCAACCAATTGATTGAAAGCTTCATCTTGGTCCTCGACTTGAGGCTGGTTGAAAATTTCTTCCATTGAATTATCAAATAATTCATCGTCATCCATACGTGTATCATAGTGATCACTGTTGTGATTGGGATGCGTTTGGAACAGGTGTTGAATTAATAAATCATGATGATCTTTCTTCGACAACTTTAACAGAGTTCCAATAACGGCTGCCAAGCTTAACAATAATTTCCAACAACAAGACCTTGGGTTTAATGTGTTTGCCATAGCTTCTTTCGATAATATTGCAGATTTTTTGATTTTTCTCCTTTTTAAAGAACGATCCAACAATTTCATCGGCAGAATAATATTGATCGCCTTCGTATTGATAGGTATGTAAAGAATGAAGTGCAGGAAGGTGTTCTTGAATCTCTAAAGTTTTACCCATCGCGATGAATTTTAATAATTTTTAATATATAAATGATGATGAACTCTACACGAATTCTAGGAAGCCAATTTTTGTAATATTGTCAACAACATGGCTGTAATATAACAATTCCGAAGTGTGATTCAAAAAGGAAATGAAATCTTAATACTCGAAGCCCGAAAGTTTGTTTCGCTGGCAGTTTTGCTATGCAAAGCGATACACTCAGTTTCACTTTTTTCTCCTTATTATCTTTTTTCGGAGCGAAGAAGAATTCTTCTTCAAGGTGCATGCAGTGAGAGATTCATTCTCACTCGTGATACTACGAGGATCATCTTTGGATGGATCGCTTTGAACCTGTTGATCTGCATTTCTTTGCATGGCAATATATTGTTTGCATTGTAACTTCTTAGAAATGTAGGTGAAGGCCTTTCCACATTTTCGAATGGCTGGGAGTACAATTTCGAGATCTTCACGCATAGCCTCGCCTGCATATTGCAAAGCCATTGGATTATGCTGAATGGCCAACTTAACCACTTCCTTGTCACTTCTCAAATCATCACCCACCCTATGAAGAGATAATTATCCAAAGCGAACTCTGGGCTTTGAATCACTGTCATTACAATTTCACGGTCATTTGAGAATATAGAGGGTAAATGGTAAAAAGTCTTTGCGTTGTTTTTCACAGCTTGCAATGCAAATTCTCGATATTTGCTAATCGGTTGTTGAAAATCAAACTTTTTCAAAATAAAAGGCGTTGTTTTACATGCAAGAAGGGCTAATTGTTGGTTTCGTCGAAATTCTTCAGGAAGAGATTGAAATAAGTATCCGTCATGTTCAATGGCATAACGCAACACTGTTTCGTTTCCATAAAGACTCGGATCAACATACTGGAAGGCCTTCACATTTCTTTTCAGAGCCGTCATGACCACTTCCTCATCACTTCTCAATTCCTTAGAGGCATACGAAAGAGCATTTGGATACGATTCTATTGCCTTCATGACCACTTCCCTATCATTTCGGAGTTCATGTGAGGCTTTACGGAGCCATGATCCATCAATTTGAATCGCTTCAAGCATGAATTCCTTTCGGTAAAAGAGTTCATGGGTAATCGGCAAGTACGTGAGGCATTGAGGATCCACACGAAAAAGTTCCTTCACAAATTTCAGTTGATTCCGTAATTCTTCCGAACAGAATTTAAAGGATTTTGGATTTTGCAGATAGGCCTCCCGAACGATCTGAGGATCTTTCTTAAAATCGGAACAAGCATATTCCAAACACAATCCATCACATTGGACACATTTTAAGGTCAAATTGCGTTGAGAGGCAAAGGTGGAAGGAATCAAACTGTACAAGGATCGATGCACGCTATAAGGAAAATATTTTTTTGTTTGAAACTTTTCTTGGTCGTAGAGGGAGAAGT